AGAGAGAGAGAGAGAGAGAGAGAGAGAGAGAGAGAGAGAGAGAGAGAGAGAGAGAGAGAGAGAGAGAGAGAGAGAGAGAGAGAGAGAGGAAAAGATTGCACTGGCAGGGAGAAGGCAGTCATACCTGCACCAGTGCAGGATGTTAGTGGTAGTTGGTAGGGAGTCAGTGGGCATAGCAGTGGATGTATTCAGAGTAGATCCTTGAGCAGAAGTTAGTGAGTGCGCACGGATGTAGGGAGAGAAGACACAGCGAGGACATAGCTAGGGAGAAGACCAGCGAGGGGAAGAGATACATAAGAGAGAAGAGCAGTGGGGAAGAGATACTTACCTGAGAGCTTATGCTGTTTACTGGTTACCTTTAGTATGCACTGATGAGCGCTGGTGACTTGAACTTTATTGCTCTTGTTATATCTTGTTGGAACTCTAAAGCTGCGCTACTTGGTCTCCATCTCTCTGGCCTTCAGTGTGAATCTCGTGTAATCTTATACATTCATGTGGTGTGATCATGTGCACTCATTGGTGATGAACTGAGCGGTTCATCGCACCGGTCTTATTCAGTTTACCTGATGATGGAAGGTGAACTGGGGTGATGCTCCCCAAGTACACTACAGTCATGGTCATGCGGTGATCCTAGTCTTTCTTTTTCACTTTGTAGCTTTTGGTTTTCTAAGTTTGCAACTTATTAACTGCTCAAGTTTTCTGTTCCAATTTTGAGGAGATGGTTGGGGCCCTCCCCCCCACGCACCCACCTACCAAGAACTCAAAAAAGTCAAGCACCCAACCTGCAGTGGCGTCATCTCATCATTGTCTTCACTAAGGGTTGACATTACTTGCCCCCACTCAGTTCGCATCCCAACTGCTGTCACCTGCATAAAGAGAGGGAAAGTGCATGCCAGAAAGATGGGGAAGTCAAAACAACAAGAATGCTGAAAATATTAAAATAATCCTCAGGCCAAACTCGCGCATCATCCGAGCTGGTGGATGAATGGGCACAGTGCTACAGAACTTGGACCATTGATCCATGGGGAGAGATGGTTAATGGAAGGCTGAAAATTCGTTTTTTTTTGGTGCATTACCACAAGCAAGGCTCATAATACAAGCATAAAAAAAAAAAAAAAGAGGCAAAAAGAAAACCCAAAAAAAACACTCAAGAAGTGACAAAAACAAAAAAAACGTAACATAAAAATGCTTTCTGAATTCAAATAAGCGTTCAACGAATTCGATGTTTTCGCCAACTTCTTTGCTAATCGTCCAAATATGTCTAAACTGCAATGCCTCATGGAATCACTATTCGGGCCGAGTGGCGGCCATATGGCTGTTATGGCTCTGTTTCATTCAGGGTAGCGAAACCCTGTATCGCCTTCTATCAGCAGGAAATTGAAACAATTGAATCCAGGAACCCTCCTTGGAGGTGAAAAGCTGGGTGTTGAGGCAAGGGGCAGTTCACCTGGAAAATAAAAGAACAAGGGTTAAAAAAAGCAACTCGTTATGTAATGCCCTCCTCTCCCCCTGCCTATGCCTGCAGCCGGGGCGACAGCCACAATACCCACCAACCTTATCCACACGGTCCAATCAACTGTAGGTCAAAGTTTTGCATGCATTTATGCTGCACAAACCATTTCATTTCCAGATTAAAAGGGGCAATACCCACAAACTTCATCAATGTGGTCCGATCAACTTTATGTCAACGTATTTGATGCTGTATACTGCTCAAATCATTTGATTTGTAGATTACGAAGACCTCATGCTCATCCTTAACCTTCCGCCAGTTGCAGGGTCCCTTTTTCCTCTGCTTTGCTATTGCTGGCAGTCTAGTAACCACAGTTACAATCTAGGCATGATGGCAATGAGGACCAATAAGCATCTGCCCTCAGGATGCTGGTTGACTGGATGCAAGGCGTTCCCCCACCCCGCCCCTT